CACCGTTTTTGCGTCGTCATGGCCCAGGCATTACCTTTCAACATGATCTCTCACCAATCGGGCACATGTGGGATGAGTTGGATCGGCGCCTTTGACGTCAACCACGTACGTGTTCCACAGACACTCCAGGAACTTCGAAACATGCTCCAGCAGATATGGACAGATAACCCACAGGACTTTGTGCGACGCCTGGTCCATTCCATGAGACGAAGATGTGTTGCTTGCATCGCAACCAGAGGTGGACACACACGCTATTGATTTGTAAATTGACATTTTGGCATGTTCATGGTTTTTTTTTATGAAATCACGCATTTTCTGAAGTCAGTATGGCAAATTAAAACCATTTGAACACTTACAGGAGTCTTTTATCTGTTGCAAACCGAAATTGTTTCAGATTTGGTAAAAACATAACTTTGCATTAAATCTTATTCAATGTCACAGGAACTTTTGTTGTTCAGTATATAATTGCACATAAACTGCCCGGCTAATGAAAGAATACCCATGTTTGATGGTGGCTAAAATGAAACAAACAAGAAATAGTTATTCGATGGTGGGGTATTTGATACCGGTATCATAGTTGTGTTTTGGAGTGTTTCGTCTACTGTTATCAGCCTAGTAACATTTTGATACACTTGTAATTTTCTGGTCAAATCCATTTATCAAGTACTTACAATATATAAGTTGTGGCAGGATCACGAGGGGTGCATGGCGTTTTATGAGTCCCTCGTTAGGTTTTACTCCATGTACCCCGACTGATACTGCTACAACGAATTTTTCTTACCGACATGTTTTAATATGACATTGTTAAAGAATTAAAACACATTGAAAATTGATAGAAAACAGCTGTTCTATTGAGCTGAGATTAACTTGTGCGATGTCACGTGATTTCCAATGACTCGGGGGAAAAGCTTACGCCTTTTTGCTTTGAAACGGGGTATAAGGGATTTATTCTATCTCTCAGAAATCAACGTGCAGCCTGTATTGCTCGTGGCGGGGTATAAGAGATTATTCCCCGCTGAGAAATGTATTACCCTCCAAGCGGGTTACACAGTATTTTATCAAGGTCACGTTGGCTAATGAGATCTCATCATTCTGACATGGAGGTATGATAAAGTATTTTATCAAGATCACGTTGGCTAATGAGATCTCATCTTTCTGACATGGAGGTATGATAATTTCTTTTGCCTTTACATCACACTAATAGCATGACAAATGTCATGACGATGCAATCGTGCGTGTGTTTGAGACTGATCCCTTATGCCATACTTTATCATTCAAGGAATTAACGTTCTGTCGACTGTTTGAATCGAAAAGAAACAGACAGAGATACAGCCAAGTACTTTACATTACTGATCATGAATTCTCAACAACATGCTTCAAACACCATCAGGTCGGTCAGGTGGCCAGATTTCATTATAGTTAGTAAAAACTCTCAGATCGACCGAAAACACGTCAAAGACAGAATACAATGTAAGTTTTGCCAAACTTGCAAAAAAGACTTCTAAATTCTTGATTAGATATAGAAATTTCATTCCTTGTATGCGTCTTCTCTGGAATTACATATCCTAAATATATTCATGCGAGAATTGAATTCTTTAGCATAATATGAACTAGTTTATCTTAAAGGGTCGTTGTGAGGACGGATACCAGAGGGGGCTGCCCGGGACTGTTTTGTTTGTTTGTTTGTTTGTTTGTTTGTTTGTTGTTTAACGCCGCACTCAGCAATATTCCAGTTATATGACGGCGATCTGTAAATAATCGCCTCTGGACCAGACAATCCAGTGATTTACATCATGAGCATCGGTCCACGCAATTGGGATACGAAGATATGCATCAACCGAGTCATCGAGCCTCTTACGAAAAGCATGGGTTGATGAAGACCTATTCTAACCCGGATCTTCACGGGTTGTAGAATTATAACTTAGCCCTGCAAGCCTTCCTTCACAGCGTTGTATCAGTGTAACAAAAAGATTTTACTTTTTACAGCAGTTATTGTTTTGATGGTGTCTTGTTTTATGAATGTCGGGAAGTGATTGTAGAATAACCGAGGCATACGCAAATTTGTAGTTAGTTAAATGCGATGCAAGATATATCCAATCTTCAAAACATGAGTGAGTGAGTGAGTGAGTATGGTTTTACGCCGCTTTAAGCAATATTCCAGCAATATCACGGCGGGGGACACCAGAAAAGGGCTTCACAAATTGTACCCATGTCGGGAATCGAACCCGGGTCCTCGGCGTGACGAGCGAACGCTTTAACCACTAGGCTAACATGTTAAAGAACACACAATGGGAAGGTTGTGTGCTGCAATACCCACCAGCCATGACAGATTAACTATAATCATATGAAATATATCGGGCTTTCTTAAACTTCTTTGGATTGTATATAATTATCATCATGTGCCGGAGGGGCGGTCGGGTAGCCTGCTGGTTAAAGCGTTCGCTCGTCACGCCGCATACCTGGGTTCGATTCCCCACATGGGTACAATGTGTGAAGCCCATTTCTGGTGTCCACCGCCATGATATTGCTAGAATATTGCTGAAAGCGGCGTAAAACCATACTCATTCACTCACTCATGTGCCGGAGGGAATCTAGTTCCCAATAGAGTATCTCACAATATATTAGCTCAGGTCCAGTGAAGATTCCTGGTTAGAATAGACCTTCAGCAACTCAGGCTTGTCGCCAACAATGTCGCCAAGTGTCGTGAATGACAAGCCATGAGTCAAACAACCGATGCAGCATCGCAGATGTCCAAGGAAAAATGGACAGGAGACATACCTCCAAAAACATTACCGGTCCGATCGATATCACAAATATATTTGTCTCCAATGGGATTAAGATTCTATTCATGACGTTCCCTGCTGGAGTCTGAATGCGCCATCAGCTATATACGGACACGCGCCATTGAGCGGGGACCAATCACAGTGCAGGTGAAAGTGACCTTAACCGCCGACACGTTCATACACTCCTGTGATTAATCACTGAGTAACTTACTGTATAATTGGCCATCTTGATCATCTATAAATGTGCAAGGTCTGAAAACAGTTTAACTGTTCACCAGGGGACACGAACATTAGTTGAATACGTTACGCTAGTATTGTCGAGCTAAACTGCCGGGTGAAGACAGTATACACTTGAAAATTGGATACAATTGTATACACAAGAAATGTAAACGTTATCAAAACGTTACTAGACTTAAAGCATTTGCCGAAACATTACAAACTGTCACAATCAAATATGAATGTATGCTTTCTTTTGCTACGCAGTTGAGACAAACTTACGTGGCTCCCCTTAAAGGTTGTGTTTGTCTGCATATTGTTTAACCCCTCACCCAGCAATATACCAGCAATCATCCGATTCATAGAACATGTCCACCCGATACACTTAGTCGCCTCAAACAAACAAATATGATCACTCACGACAAACAGTCCCGCCACGGACCCCGCTAATTTGAAAAACTTAAGTCATAACTCAAATAAAAACTTTTTACCTGACTTAAATGTTTTGCTTACTAAGTTTTTTTATTTTTACGGCCTGGGTCCATAAGTACCACCGACTCCCAACAAACCACATACATTCATCAACATGGATGAATAATTCAGGATAGAATAGTCAAAGTTTCTTTGTCATTTTCACTCGTATTGATTCTTGCCAAAACATCAAAACCAGAAACATTCTCCTTGAAGCAACGCCTTATCTATGTTAGGATATAAATAGGACAGTTAATGACAGCAGGACGCCAGATGTAAGTTATTCCATCCCCGTCCGTCTGTGCTTCTGATGGTTGATGGGGAAATAGCATTTTCCATCCCCTGAATGCAGCCCCGCCGTGACCTTAAGACCAACGCGTGAAGTGACCCCGGCCACATGCAATGGAAAGTGGAGGCAATAAAGTTGTTGAACTGATAAACTAAAAACCTATAATAACGCACGAGCGAGATGAATCTCGGGAGGAGGTCAGCTTTGCCACTAGTCTCATTGTTCAGATGGGGCAATGATTCCACGTGGGCTAAGATCCAAGGGAACTGTCTGTCTCGGTTGTCTGTTTAATGTCTTTCTGTCCAGGCAATCTGAACTTTAATGTCTCTTTCCTTATACACCGATTAACCATTAGGTTCTTCCGCAGGAACTGATACCACACCGACTTCGTTCTGTTAAATCAGCGCAGCAAAGCTAGTTTTTCACATCGTGTCCTTTTCATGCATTATCTCATTAGAAAGAAAGACACAATCACCTACTAGTCCAAGAACTGTTTTTATTTATAGGGGACGCTGGTGGCCTATGGCAACGCTGTGTGTATTGCGTCCCTTTGAGGCGTCAGGATCCGCTATGCGTGGCCACTGTAGGCTGCCCCAAATCAAAAGAAATGTTATATTCGGGGTTGTGTTCAGAGGCCGTATCAGTAACCGCCGGTCATGGGGTCGAATCCAAACATCTCTGTGACTATCATGCTTGGTTTGTCACAGTAATTTCCGTGCTCATGGGTTTCACCAAAGTGGAAAAGGAAGGTTGACTGTGTCCCTTTTATTTTTCTTCCCATACCGACCTGACACGTCTTGATATAACTGAACTAATGTTTGTTTGTTTGTTGTTTAACGCCGCACTCAGCAACATTCCAGCTATATGACGGCGGTCTGTAAATAATCAAGTCTGGACCAGCAAATCCAGTGATCGATGTTGCAAGGACCCGTGAAGATACCGGAAAGAATAGGTCTTCAGCAACCCATGCTTGCCGTAAAAGGCGACTATGCTTGTCGTAAGGGGCAACTAACGGGATCGGGTGGTCAGACTAGATGACATGGTTGATGCATGTCATCGTATCCCAAATGCGTGGATCGATGCTCATGATGTCAATCACTGGATTGTCTGGTCCAGACACAATTATTGAGAGACCGTCGTCATATAACTGGAATATTACTAAGTGCAGCGTTAAACAACAGAGAAACAAAAGTGTTACCCTGTTACAAAAAAATCATTTAAAAAAATACAAAACAAAGGTGTTGTACAAAATGCAAGTGTATTGATATTTATTACATTATTTACAAATTATATTCATAACATATATAACACATCTTGTGAAACTGTGTTCAGTGTTACTTATAGTGACTAACAGCAACGTGTGATTGCACAAAGCCCATCCACATATAATGCAGACAAAATGTTTTGAAGAAAAGCAGCCATTTCTGTAACATTCAACTAAAAGATAATCAACACTTTATTTGGTTTCAAACTGAAAATGATAGATCAGTCAAATGGAAAGAAAAGGAATTAGTATTGCTTCTAATCTTACATCTTAAAATAATTAAACAAAAACAAATATCATTAATAGTAAACTAAAACATAACAAAACAGAAAGTCTTATTCCTTAAACCATAACCTAATACATATTACAGATAAGTTGTACCTCAATCTAACATGTAATGAATTCTGAAGGGCATTCATTAACCTTCGTCTTCAGAGGCAAAGGAGTTAACAGATATAAAAGTCCAGTTTCCACCCTTGCCGAACCAGGCTGGAATCATGGAGATATATTTTGGCTGTGTAACGCAATCAACATCCGGTTGATAAACACATGACGTCTGCTGTGCAGATTTAGGTCAATTGCGGGACTTGGTGAGCATGTGTACCGTCAACTGGGCGTTGACAGATATTGTCCAGATCTTAATATGTTTGTAATCAAGGTGCTTATGTGATTTGATGCACTTCTCCAGATAAGCCCCGTTTTATTACAATTTAGATCTTGATTATCAATCCTATTGACTTGACTGGGCTCTGCCATTTTGTTTGAAGCAAATGCAAGTGATATGAGAGGTGGAATCAGAATGGTCAATAGGAGAGATATAGAAGGGACATAACTCATAATAGCCACTGGTGGAGCTACAATAGAGCCCAGAAATTCCAGCCTATTTCAGCAAAGGGCGGAAACTGGATTTTTATAGTCAGTTAACTCCCTTGTCACGCGAAGATGATAACCTTAGTTAAATACACATTTGGTATTACATTATACCTTAATCACACACAGAATGTATTCTGAAGGTCAGAGGTATAACACTTCATATTTCCAAGGCTAGGGATAATAGACAATTTTTTCTGAAAAACATCCCCTCATTATATTGCCCCTAACAGATATTAACCTATCCCATGCACTCTTTCTTCACAACAAACTTCTTCACATCATTCTCGGACACATCTGTTGGATAGTTAAAGTGAACATTGTACTTTTGATCATCATATAACTCTTTTGATCAGTTCTAGATTAAGGCCACAACAAATTAATTATTTGCCTTCCGATCATTTTCTGTAACTGAGGCCACAGAGGCCGACGTGTTCAGGACGACGTGTTCAGGACTCCGGACTGATAGAATTTCCTTATTTCTCTTGAGAATTTTTATATTTCACCAAATGATGGAAAAGTGATGATTAGATAACACCTACTTAGGTTTTGTGTGTTTGAGCCTCAGTGTAGAGTATATCAAGGACCTACATCTATTTTGGCAGATACGTAGACAAGTACATTGTACAAGTAGATGCACATTGTCAAAATTACATCCAATATAAATAAATAAACAACCAATTAATTTGTTTTGCCTTCATGCCACCTGGATGGTGGATCGTACTTGGATCGGACATTCACCAATACACCGATGTATGAGAATACATCAAGTTTGGATACAGCTCTGTATTGCATTTTATTTGTTAAATATATAAAAACACGCAGCCTCTGAACCCAAAATGGTTTTGTTTAACTTACATTATCTGTCATTGTGTCTGTATCAAGATGCACATCTTATCTTAACCCACATCATTTTACGTCCCAGCCTTACCAGTCACCCCTAGCAAAACAAGCCCTCTAACATAGCCCCTTTCTGTTGTATACGGCATGGTCAGCAACATAGGGACCCTAGAGTCACACTAAAGGAATGAGGACATTGTCCTCCCTTTCACCATCCCTTCCACCATCAGTTTCAGGGAAAACAAAATGGAGACAAATATTTCCACCTGGGGAAATGAGTAAAATCGCAATATTTTTTACATTTGTATACTTATCCTGCATTACACTGTATTGCATTTACTGCTGTCTTTTGACAGAGACGAACTGTGTGTGATCCAGTAATGCAGGATAAGTCAAAAAAATATTTTTGGAATGACAATCTAATAAATGGTTTATTATAGCAGATACTGACACAGTAAGAGGCGACTAACGGGATCAGGTGGTCAGGCTCGCTGACTCCGTTCATGCATGTCATTGTATCCCAATTGCATGCATCGATGCTCATGATATCAAGCACTGGTCTGGTCCAGATTTGCTAATTTACAGACCACCGTCATATAGCTGGAATACTGCTGAGTGTGGTGTTAAACAACAAACAAACAAATAACACTGACACAGCAAAACGCAACTGTGATATATACTACTCAAAAGACATTAAGGACATTCTTTCATATATGAATGATCGGGTGATCCTTCTTTCTTCTGAGTAGTATATAGGGTATACAATGGTATGTGTGTAATGCATTTTGTGGCCTGTATGATGTCTGGTTGGCTGTGGGAGAAGCTGAAGCAAGGCAAGCATCCTCATGTTGCAGTGTTCCGGAATGTAGGAGAAGCAAGCTCATTTCAGTTCCTTCAACTTGTTGGCGAGGCGGGCTGTCTTGAAGTCTGCACGAAGCTGCACAAACTGCAGCACCACTGACTCTTCCATCATTGCCTGGAGAGAGAAGGGAGATAACTGCTGTAGCTAGGAATGTTGGTGACAGCACATGTTGTGTTTGGACAAAACACGACAAAATGTGGTGTTATTCTTTCGTATGTGTCCTTGTTGTCAACTCGCTGTTTTAAGAAACCATAACACATCCTAATAAAATAATCGAGTTGTTCTTTGTGGAATACAAATCAATCATGCCGTAAGAGGCGACTAACGTGATCGGGTGGTCAGGCTCACTGACTGGACTGATGCATGTCATCGTATTCCGATTGCGTGGATCAATGCTCATGATGTCAATCACTGGATTGTCTGGTCCAGACTCGATTATTTACAGACCGCTGTCATATAGCTACGATAATGCTGAGTGCTGCATTAAACAACAAACAAACATTAACACTCAGAAACTACACATCCACAATAGGATGTACACATAAAAGATTCAGCTTCATAAATGATGCATTTCAACAGAATCAGTCGTCACAAGGGTGAAGTGAACTCACCAGCTGCTCGTCATCCCGGACGACCTTGAGGTTCTCCGGCACCACTACTAGGAGATTACATAGTGCATGGAGCTTCTCAAACAGCTGCGTTACCATGGGGATCTTAAACTCCTCCTTCACACACTTCCTGTACTCATTGATGTCACAGATCACCAGCATGGCACCTGCAACCAACACATCACAGATCACCAACATGGCACCTGCAACCAACACATCAGAGATCACCAACATGGCACCTGCAACCAACACATCACAGATCACTGACATGGCACCTCCAACCAACACATCACAGATCACGAGCATGGCACCTGCAACCAACACATCACAGATCACTGACATGGCACCTGCAACCAACACATCACAGATCACTGACATGGCACCTGCAACCAACACATCACAGATCACCAACATGGCACCTGCAACCAACACATCACAGATCACTGACATGGCACCTGCAACCAACACATCACAGATCACTGACATGGCACCTGCAACCAACACATCACAGATCACCAGCATGGCACCTGCAACCAACACATCACAGATCACCAGCATGGCACCTGCAACCAACACATCACAGATTACTGACATGGCACCTCCAACCAACACATCACAGATCACTGACATGTCACCTCCAACCAACACATCACAGATCACTGACATGTCACCTGCAACCAACACATCACAGATCACGAGCATGGCACCTGCAACCAACACATCACAGATCACCAACATGGCACCTGCAACCAACACATCACAGATCACCAACATGGCACCTGCAACCAACACATCACAGATCACCAGCATGGCACCTGCAACCAACACATCACAGATCACCAACATGGCACCTGCAACCAACACATCACAGATCACCAGCATGTCACCTGCAACCAACACATCACAGATCACCAGCATGGCACCTGCAACCAACACATCACAGATCACCAGCATGGCACCTGCAACCAACACATCACAGATCACTGACATGTCACCTGCAACCAACACATCACAGATCACTGACATGGCACCTGCAACCAACACATCACAGATCACCAGCATGGCACCTGCAACCAACACATCACAGATCACTGACATGGCACCTGCAACCAACACATCACAGATCACCAACATGGCACCTGCAACCAACACATCACAGATCACCAACATGGCACCTGCAACCAACACATCACAGATCACCAACATGGCACCTGCAACCAACACATCACAGATCACCAGCATGGCACCTGCAACCAACACATCACAGATCACTGACATGGCACCTGCAACCAACACATCACAGATCACAAACATGGCACCTGCAACCAACACATCACAGATCACTGACATGGCACTTCTTTACAAATCAGCACATAATGAAGGACAACACAATGGCCTCTCTATGATTATTTAAGTGTGTCAGTAATAGGCAAACAGTCACTTCTAAACTACTGACCCCTTCCTGGTTAAACAATAACAATATATTGTCAACAAGCTCATCTGCCAATCATTCCATTGTCAGCTGTGAAAAGTAATGGTAGCTCTTTGGGCTTCTCTTTCTCAATTTCTTAAGGTGAACAAGACAAGCACTTGAGTTCTCAATCAAATTACAAATCATTGGGGGACACTCATGCCGTTTCATTCATTAATCCTATCTGTGTCACTTCCTCAAAGGGAGGTAATGCTGATTAATTACCCCTGTATCTTCATGCAGACAATTTATAGGAGGACTTGGCCATAACACTGCAAGGAACTAAGGACTCAATCATTTTCTATTTTCCAGCAATTAACTGCTGCGCGAGTGCAAATGGAATACTCCAAATCAATCAAACTGTCACTTTTACATGTTGTGATCACAGGAAAAAGCTGGTGCAGTGTTTATAATCATCATAATAATACCGGTAAAATCTTGCTCAAAATATAAAAAATCAATAATAGTTATTTAAATTCATGGTAATTGTATGTATTTCATTTAAAAAACACAAAAAGCTGTACGGGAATGATTGAAGTGCTCACAGCTCGGTGACATGACATTTGTACACAGGGCAAGCAAGTGATGTGCATTGCATTGTATGAAACTTGCTGGTAAACTTCTGATAAAATGATAAATGATCACCATGGAATAAGTAACCATTTGGGATTTGCATTATCAATTTCTCTTTTCGATAAAATGTCTCGATAATATTTTCTTTGTTTATGTTCCAACATTCTGACAGTCTCTGCTCCTTTATCATTCTCACTGTGGAAGTAATGATGAGGAAAAATAAAAATAATTTAAATAAGATGGAAAAACTCTCAGATTGAAATACATTGTATTATTTTTGTACTTCCAGAGCAGTGAATTAAACATAACCCAAGAGCTGTATCGAATGTTATCATTGTTTTGTATTGTTTTGTATCAGGTTCATGAGTGTAAAAGTGAGTTACATTTTTGTCACTGCATCAGTAAGATGAAATTTTTAAAAACAAAAATTCCATATTCATCAATATTCCACTCGGATAGAACCGAGTCTGGACCAGACAATCCAGTCATTGATATTTGTGAACAATGATCCACATTGTCAGGGTGGGTGGACAAAGTTGAAATTAACACCTTCCTTGAGTGAGTGAGTGGGTAGTGAGTATGTGGGCAATTGAGTGGATTGGTGAGTGAGCGAGTGGCTGGGTGAGTGAGTTGATGGGTGAGTGAGTTAATGTGTGAATGAGTGAGTGGATGGGTGAGTGAGTGAGTGAGTGGCTGGGTAAGTGAGTTGATGGGTGAGTGAGTTAATGTGTGAGTGAGTGGATGGGTGAGTGAGTGAGTGGCTGGGTAAGTGAGTTGATGGGTGAGTGAGTTAATGTGTGAGTGAGTGAGTGGATGGGTGAGTGAATGGGTTGGGAGTGTCTACATGTTTTTTTTCAACTTTGCACAGCAAATTGCAGTGCCTTAGATGAGTTGGCCACTCTTGCCCCTCTAGGCTACCCATGCCACTCTGTGCTAGGCAAACCAGTGGATGACAGCATGAGCACCGATCCCCACTGTTGGGGTACAATAACAAACAATCAGCCACTTCACCCATTGTGTCCACCCAATCTCCACTTCAGTCATCCCTCAAATAGCATGTGATCTCCATAGGAACCAAGGGAAATGTGCATTTCTTAAACATTACACTATGCTAATTCATCTGAAATACTTATGACAGTAACCTGTAACAACACGTTTGACATTTGCTGGTTATGTAAATGAAATGTTGCCTGGGATTCAAACAGAGGATGTATATCATGGCTGACATCTTATTGCTTAGCACTCCCTCACTTTCTGTGAGTGGTATATCATGGCTGACATCTTATTGCTTAGCATTCCCTCACTTTCTGTGAGTGGTATATCATGGCTGACATCTTATTGCTTAGCACTCCCTCTCTTTCTGTGAGTGGTATATCATGGCTGACATCTTAGTGTTAAGCATTCCTCTCTTTCTGTGAGTGGTATATCATGACTGACATCTTATTGTTAAGCACTCCCTCTCTTTCTGTGAGTGGTATATCATGGCTGACATCTTATTGTTAAGCACTCCCTCACTTTCTGTGAGTGGTTTATCACAGCTGACATCTTATTGCCTAGCATTCCTTCTCTTTCTGTGAGTAGTATATCATGGCTGAGATCTCATGGTTATGCATCCCTCACTTTCTGTGAGTGGTATATCACAGCTGACATCTCATTGTTAAGCATTCCCTCACTTTCTGTGAGTGGTATATCATGGCTGACATCTTATTGCTAAGCATTCCCTCACATTCTGTGAGTGGTATATCATGGCTGACATCTTATTCTTAAGCATCCCTCACTTTCTGTGAGCGGTTATCACAGCTGACATCTCATTGTTAAGCATCCCTCACTTTCTGTGAGTAGTATATCATGGCTGACATCTTATTGTTAAGCATCCCTCACTTTCTGTGAGTGGTATATCATGGCTGACATCTTTCTATGCATTCCTTCACTTTCTGTGAGTGGTATATCACAGCTGACATCTCATTGTTAAGCATTCCCTCACTTTTTGTGAGTGGTATATCATGGCTGACATCTTATTGCTAAGCATCCCCTCACTTTCTGTGAGCGGTATATCACAGCTGACATCTTTTTGCTAAGCATTCCTTCTCTTTCTGTGAGTGGTATATCATGGCTGACATCTTATTGTTAAGCATCCCTCACTTTCTGTGAGCGGTATATCATGGCTGACATCTTAATGTTAAGCATTCCTTCTCTTTCTGTGAGTGGTATATCATGGCTGACATGTTTTTGCTAAGCATTCCATCACTTTCTGTGAGTGGTATATCACAGCTGACATCTTATTGTTAAGCATCCCTCACTTTCTGTGAGCGGTATATCATGGTTGACATCTTGTTGTTAGGCATATCCTCACTTTCTGTGAGCGGTATATCATGGTTGACATCTTACTGTTGGGCATTCCTCAAATTCTGTGAGCGGTATATCATGGTTGACATCTTATTGTTAGGCATTCCTCACTTTCTGTGAGCGGTATATCATGGTTGACATCTTACTGTTAGGCATTCCTCAAATTCTGTGAGCGGTATATCATGGTTGACATCTTATTGTTAGGCATTCCTCACATTCTGTGAGTTGTATATCATGGCTGACATCTTATTGCTAAGCATTCCTTCTCTTTCTGTGAGTGGTATATCACAGCTGACATCTTATTGCTAAGCATTCCTTCTCTTTCTGTGAGTGTTATATCATGGCTGACATGTTTTTGCTAAGCATTCCATCACTTTCTGTGAGTGGTATATCACAGCTGACATCTTATTGTTAAGCATCCCTCACTTTCTGTGAGCGGTATATCATGGTTGACATCTTACTGTTGGGCATTCCTCAAATTCTGTGAGCGGTATATCATGGTTGACATCTTACTGTTGGGCATTCCTCAAATTCTGTGAGTGGTATATCATGGTTGACATCCAATTGTTAGGCATTCCTCAAATTCTGTGAGCGGTATATCATGGTTGACATCTTATTGTTAGGCATTCCTCACATTCTGTGAGTAGTATATCATGGTTGACATCTTACTGTTAGGCATTCCTCACATTCTGTGAGTAGTATATCATGGTTGACATCTTACTGTTAGGCATTCCTCACATTCTGTGAGAAGTATATCATGGTTGACATCTTACTGTTAGGCATTCCTCACATTCTGTGAGTAGTATATCATGGTTGACATCTTACTGTTAGGCATTCCTCACATTCTGTGAGTAGTATATCATGGTTGACATTTTACTGTTAGGCATTCCTCTCTTTCTGTGAGTTGTATATGGTCATGTCTAAGTGACATTAGTGGCAGTGACCCGTACATATCCGGGGTAGAATAGGCCTTCAGCAACCCATGCTTGCTGTAAAAGGTGTCTATGCTTGTCGTAAAAGGCACCCAACGGGATCGGGTGGTCAGGCTCGCTGGCTTGGTTGATGCATGTCATCGATCCCAATTGCGTGGATCGATGCTCATGATATCAATCACTGGATTGTCTGGTCCAGACTTGATTATTTTTACAGACTGCCGTCATATAGCTGGAATATTGCTGAGTGCGGCGTAAAACAACAAACCAAACCATTAGTGGCAGTTGAGACTGTTGTCAAATTATTTGCAGTGATTGTCAGAGGCACCAAATGATTGAAGTGCTCATAAAATATCAAGTGCTGGAGAGGCCAGATTTCAAAAGTGGTCAATGGCAAGAAGTAATTCAGAGTCACCCATCTTTGTATAAACATGAACATGACAGGCTTGATCATTCGAGAAGTTTGGGGATGGGACAGTTTCTAGATGGCTGGCTATCCCTATGAGAGCAAAACAATGGCGAATCGAGTCATATTGGGACCTGGTTCCATGTTATCTACTTGCAAAGTATGGATGGACATCTAGTTGTAAACATTGAATTCCTAGCTGCTTCCAACACTATTCCAGATTCAAGAACAGACAGGCCTGTTTCAAGACATTTGACAGTTACAAAATTGAGAACAAACATGAGCTTACATACATTAATTACAGGGCCTGTTACGTATTGCTGCTACCACTTATTTGACCCATTGTACTGCCTTCCTGAATGGAATCCTAAAACTGTGGTAAACCTGACTCTGTGTGGTCATTTCACGGATTTTAATGATTTCACAATTTTGTTCGGTACAAACTGATTTTCAGGTGAACCGTTGTGTACTCACTCCCTCTCACTGGAACAGGTAGAACCTCATGCTCAAGTACTCATTGTTTGCCAAGGATTAAGCTCCTTGTCAGTCCCGTCTCCCTTAGAGGACCATAGTTGAGATAGAGTTTGTAGAAGAGTCACTGGCCTGACAGCATATCTCCCCCTCCAGACTACAGACTATATACTCACCCATCTCATCGTACTGAAACGTATCTCCCCCTCCAGACTACAGACTATCGACTCACCCATCTCATTGTACTGAAACATATCTCCCCCTCCAGACTACAGACTATCGACTCACCCATCTCATTGTACTGAAACATATCTCCCCCTCCAGACTACAGACTATCGACTCACCCATCTCATTGTACTGAAACATATCTCCCCCTCAAGACTACAGACTCACCCATCTCATTGTACTGAAACATATCTCCCCCTCCAGACTACAGACTATCGACTCACCCATCTCATTGTACTGAAACTGGACGATGTGCTCGTAGATGACCCGGTGAAACCTCTTGCCCAGGTCGACCAGCACAACCTCCACGTTCTTCCCGTCCAGGCTGGACTGTATGGCCTGGCCCTGAATCTTCATGAACTTCACAACCTTCCCACAAGCCTGCAAAACATCAGTGTTTATTACCCACAACATAACCTTCCTACACACACAACATCTGTAAATGACATCAAGACTTACCCCGGACAACATCTGTAGATGACATCAAGACTTTACCCCGGACAACATCTGTAAATGACATCAAGACTTTACCCCGGACAACATCTGTAAATGACATCAAGACTTACCCCGGAAAACATCTGTAAATGACATCAAGACTTACCCCGGACAACATCTGCAGCTGACAGTCCTCTTCTGGCTTAAAATCTGACTTCTTCTGTTCTGTGGCTAATATGTACCTCGTCCAGCCAATAATGGTATTCAAAGACCTGAAATATAAATATCATGTCCAAAAAACTACTCGGTTGGAAAATGTACACAATTACTTCTCAGTCAGATCCCTAGGAAAGATTGGTCAAGCCTGCAACCTTAAAGACTAAAAAGTAGTGCGGCCATCTGTGACGTGCCATAGGGATATTATGATCAGGGAAGTGACCCAGGAACAATGTCTACAGCCTTAATGTTAGGATCAAGAATTCAGAAAGTGAAAAACGTTCAACAAACATTATATGCCTCTTGTTACTAAATGGATATGTTCCCCACTGGTCTCTTGGTCTGAAGGAAAGCAAGAAGTGGAAGCTCATTACTTTCTTCTAACATTACTGATAAAACCTGAATCATTTCAAACAGACTTGTATATTTTCTCAGCGATGTAACACAATGCACTATACACCTTTGCTTCTATAGGTCTCTATAGGTCTCTATGTCCATCATGAGGACACCTCCTGTCATGGCATAGTTAAGGAACAGATTTGACTGTCCTGGCTGTAGCGTATTGACTCACCGGTCTAGACCCGTGCCGATCTTGTTCTCAAGGTTTTCTCGGAGTTCACGTTTCCTCTTCAAACACAAAGCATGCTTTGGTGACGATCTAAAACAAGAAACCAGTATAAAATGGGTTTTTCAGATTAAAAACGATGTTTTATTGGTCTGTTTTCAGTCGTACAATTGGGTATCTCATACCTCTAGTCGCTCGTTAAAAGGAAGCCAGAGGCTGGAATGTAAACAATAAACTTGTTTCCGTCCGGTTGCGCACGCACCTCCCGATGACATGCCTCAAATCTCGAAGAATAAGCCATCAAGCAGGACTGGACTGGATTACTTCCCAGTGGGGATGGCTGGGTGGGAACGTACGACTGAAAACAGACCAATAAAACATCGTTTTTAATCTGAAAAACCCATGTTTTAGTCTGTTTTCAGTCGTACAATTGGGTAGAATTCGACGGAACACTGGAAGGAGGGTCTGGAAAGTAATCCGGAAGTGACCTCTTGCACGTCGAATGTACCAAGTTCCTCACCCCCGTAGTGACAATAGAACATTCGACCAGATGCACGGACGAGACAAATTGTTTATCACGAACGCACAGCATGGGTAATGCTCATCGACACACAACTAATTATCGATGCGACAGGACAACTGCACGCGTCAGTTGAACGGCGATCGAAGTGGTCGACGTATAGTTTAGTTACAGAGCAACTCGCAGTATACAAGGTAACTAAACAGCATCTTTAATGCTCTTCGACCCACAAGTAAGTATCGATGCGACAAGGCAACTGCACACGACAGTTGAATTGCAATCGAAGTGTGGACGGCATATAATTTAGTTTCAGAACGACTCGTCGTATCCAAGGTAACTAAAACTGCATGTTTAATGCTCTTCGACCCACAAGTAGGTATCGATGCGACAGGACAACTGCACACGTCAGTTGAGGTGCGATCGAAACGTGGTCGGCTTATAATGTAGTTACAGAACGACTCGTCGTAGGCAAGGTAACTAAAACAGCATGTTTAATGCTCTTCGACACACTACTAATTATCGATGCGACAGGACAACTGCACGCGTCAGTTGATCGGCGATCGAAGTGGTCGACGTATAGTTTAGTTACAGAGCAACTCGCAGTATACAAGGTAACTAAACAGCATCTTTAATGCTCTTCGACCCACAAGTAAGTATCGATGCGACAAGGCAACTGCACACGACAGTTGAATTGCAATCGAAGTGTGGACGGCATATAATTTAGTTTCAGAACGACTCGTCGTATCCAAGGTAACTAAAACTGCATGTTTAATGCTCTTCGACCCACAAGTAAGTATCGATGCGACAGGACAACTGCACACGTCAGTTGAGGTGCGATCGAAACGTGGTCGGCTTATAATGTAGTTACAGAACGACTCGTCGTAGGCAAGGTATCTAAAACAGCATGTTTAATGCTCTTCGACACACTACTAATTATCGATGCGACAGGACAACTGCACGCGTCAGTTGATTGGCGATCGAAGTGGTCGACGTATAGTTTAGTTACAGAGCAACTCGCAGTATACAAGGTAACTAAACAGCATCTTTAATGCTCTTCGACCCACAAGTAAGTATCGATGCGACAAGGCAACTGCACACGTCAGTTGAGGTGCGATCGAAACGTGGTCGGCTTATAATGTAGTTACAGAACGACTCGTCGTATCCAAGGTAACTAAACCTGCATGTTTAATGCTCTTCGACCCACAAGTAAGTATCGATGCGACAGGACAACTGCACACGTCAGTTGAGGTGCGATCGAAACGTGGTCGGCTTATAATGTAGTTACAGAACGACTCGTCGTAGGCAAGGTAACTAAAACAGCATGTTTAATGCTCTTCGACACACTACTAATTATCGATGCGACAGGACAACTGCACGCGTCAGTTGAACTGCGATCGAAGCGGTCGACGTATTGTTTAGTTACAGAGCAACTCGCAGTATACAAGGTAACTAAACAGCATCTTAAATGCTCTTCGACCCACAAGTAAGTATCGATGCGACAAGGCAACTGCACACGACAGTTGAATTGCAATGGAAGTGTGGACGGCTTATAATGTAGTTACAGAACGACTCGCAGTATACAAGGTAACTAGAACAGCATGTTTAATGCTCTTCGACCCACAAGTAAGTATCGATGCAACAGGACAACTGCACACGTCAGTTGAATTGCGATCGAAGTGTGGTCGGCTTATAATGTAGTTACAGAACGACTCGTCGTATCCAAGGTAACTAAAACAGCATGTTTAATGCTCTTCGACACACTACTAATTATCGATGCGACAGGACAACTGCAAGCGTCAGTTGAACTGCGATCGAAGCAGTCGACGTATAGTTTAGTTACAGAGCAACTCGCAGTATACAAGGTAACTAGAACAGCATGTATAATGCTCTTCGACCCACAAGTAAGTATCGATGCGACAGGACAACTGCACACGTCAGTTGAATTGCGATCGAAGTGTGGTCGGCTTATAATGTAGTTACAGAACGACTCGCCGTAGGCAAGGTAACGAAAACTAGCATGGTTAATGCTCTTCGACACACAACTAATTATCGATGCGACAAGACAACTGCACACGTCAGTTGAATTGCGATCGAAGTGTGGTCGGCGCATAATTTAGTTACAGAGCAACTCGCAGTATACAAGGTAACTAAAAAATACGAGCCGTACTTTAAAGTATGGGAAGACGATGCATACACCGAATAACCATAATAAAACAGCCGAAGTACTGCATACAACAAAAAACCAGAAGAATGCGTACATTCACCAACAGTTTTTATTGTAACCAGCGAGGAGATCTACTTGAGGCAACCAGAGTCAATCTGTCAGCAGATGAAAAACTGTCGGGTGGATCATCCACTCCGTGGGAGACGGCCTCGATGGTCTCGACAGGGCGTCGACTATCACATTCTAGGCCCCCCCGTACGCCCATGTCTAAGGATCCTCACTTCTGCCCCCGCTGGCTCTGTCCCCCTTCTGATACGTGGAAAAGGAGACCTGGCGACCTTTTCTGTCCGCATCTCTCTCGTGGGACGGCTGTCCAGGCGTGTCCCTACGAAAGGCCTGTTGCACATGCTCGTTTCTATAACGGCGTCGTGGGGCGTTCGAAACCGGTGGCCGCCTGGACATGTTGTGTGAAGCCGAAATGATGTCACGCTCGGCTTCCTTGGAGTACTTGTCCAGAACGTCGTTGGTACGACCGTCAAACAACTGTTGCGATGACCACGGGGCCCGTAAGAGTGTCCTGCCATGACGATCAGGTAGGCCAGTGCAGGCGATGTAACCATGACGACGTGCCGTAGTAATCTGGCCCGATACATATCGAGATTGGGCGAGGACGTCCGAGATCCACCGTTGCATACAGGTGAGGATTGATGGCACCGTCCTGCCGTCCTCGTCGAGGGGGTCTTTCTCCTCAAAGTACACTGAGAGGGCCTCGATCGCCGTCGACAGCATAGCAAGCGGTTGTAGCTGGTGACGAACAGCAGTGTCCATGGATTCCAAATGCCTGTCTTCTACGAGAATCTTGGAGGGCGCTGGTGTCTTGAAGAGTAGCCCCCAATCCAAGTCCCTACTCATGGGTGACGAAAACGGCATGCCATAAATCGGGTAACTAGATCGACCAGGCGGCTGGTTGAAACTCTGTCCCGGTAGAGCAGAGGCAAAGTTCTGGTCCATATCGTGAGCCATGGCTCTGAAGACATCGGGAGGTGAAAACTGAAGAGACTGTGGCGTAGCACCGACCGTAAAGCCAGGACGCGTCGGTTTGTCGACATCATTTGATAACTCAGGCAGAAAGTAAGATAGCCAAGCAAACAACTCAATGTCTGTGGGAGGCCTAGGAGGGCTGTCGTCACAATCCATCGTCGACGTCGATTGTGGAGGCGTAGATGAAGGAACTGGTGTACTGGTCGATGGTCTATGGACCTCCGACGTAGTCGAATCCTTCTTGGTCGACGCCGTCGAGGCAAGTACCGCCGCCGTGATCTGGGCTATCAAAGTCGGGTCGATAGGAAAGTGAGACGAGGGTGTCGATCGGTCATCGGCTCTACGACGCTGATCTCCAAAAAACTCCCTTCGAGAGCGTCGCACGTCCCCGTGGGGGCGAGGGCTACGATCTCTAACTGTAGAAGTACTATGATCCCCATCGTAGTTATCGTCCGAAACGAACTCACGACGTCCACGAAGGCGACGAACGTCCTCGTGTCGTTTACTGTCTCTCGACGAGGCCCTCGACCTGTCGTCCCGTGAACGGGAACGACTTCTAGAGAGGGATCTGTGTTCACTGTAGACCCGCACGACGTTCCTATCGTCGTTGGTAGGACGAGAGACGGACCGACTGGGGACCGTAGTCCCCCCGTGGTCCTCGTCACCACCCGGTCCCGTCGTAACAGGGGTGGCTGAGTGACGCTCTCGATCAACCGATTGACGAAGATCAGTCGTGCGGGAAGTATCATCAGCAGGCGAACGGTCACGTGTCTTGTCGAAAACATAAGTTGACTGAGGCGGGTCTTTATCAACTGATTTCTTTATTAGAACAACAACTGTAGACACACGATAAGTACTAGTAGAATATCGCGAAAGTCCTTCTCGAGCGACCAGCTCAGAGGCGCGCTGAGAGATTTGTGGCATGTCATCGGGAGGTGCGTGCGCAACCGGACGGAAACAAGTTTATTGTTTACATTCCAGCCTCTGGCTTCCTTTTAACGAGCGACTAGAGATATGAGATACCCAATTGTACGACTGAAAACAGACTAAAACATGAATTTATACAAATATAGAACACATATTTCAGAGACATTAGAGAAACTTATATTTCTGCTACCATGGCGACCCACTTACAGGACGAGAGGCACGAGGCCATCCATGAACTGTTTCTCAAACAGGTGGAAGAGAGTGTTGGCCTGGTTGATGACGTCAAAGAAGTAGATCTCAGGCTCCGTCTTCGGGTCCGGCAGCGGTATAGCTGTACAACATAAAACAGGAAATTAGTCATCTGTGACATCAGACATCATCACCTGTCTGTATGCAGCTGCATATCTTCTGCCTGCAGCATCTCCTTGGAGCATGCAGCCACCTACTCCTTCATTCTTAGGAAAGGTATTAGGTATAAACAGAATTTGTTTGATTTTTTTGGCTTCATTTTGCTCAAAACCAGTTTTTAGCTCATAGGCTGGCAATTTGAGAAGGAAATATTTCAATGTTTATATAAGGAGACTAGACACATACAAGATGTCTCATTACAAGTTTTAGAATAAATTGTGAGGAGATATCTACAAAGCTACAAAAATATTCCATTTCCCCGAGGCAAGGGAGTTAACTGACTATAGAAGTCCAGTTTCACCCTTGCCGAACTAGGCTGGAATTTCTCGACTTGATTGTAGCCACCAGTGGCTATTACGAGTTACGTCCCTTCTATCTCCCTCCTATTGACCAATGAGATTCTACGCTCATATCACTTGCATTTACTTCAAACAAAATGGCAGCACCCAGTCAAGATGATCTGATCGATAATAAAGATCTTTTTTGTGATAAAACATGTCTTAGTTTGTATCAGATCACATGAGTACCTTGATCAAAACATGAAAATACTTGAAAAATGTCTGTCACAAGGTATACTCACCTTGGAGACCCAGCTCTACAGCGTAGTCGATGTGTTCTGTGACGAGGTACTGGACCAGCACTTCAAATATCTTCACTGCATGGCTCGGCACGTCATATGATAACTGAAAGGAAGTACAATGATTGTACATAATTGCCTCCACAGCAATCATCCCTATCTCTGCTCAAGATGTAATTGTCTGTGTCAGAGAAATTGGGCTGGTGAGAATGTACAAGGATTAGATTCAAGTCGGTATTTAGACAACAATCTGGAGGTCAGGTATTATGGGAATACCGTCTCGACGTAATAAGCGCACAGGGCGCTCTCAAAATTAGAAATAGGGGGCTCTTATTAGAATATTATGTTGGTGAAAAAAACAGAGTTGAAAGATAAATTTCGTGGTTTATAGTGACAGCTTGAAATGTTTATGTACGACAGATATATTTTTCCAGAATATAATTGCCCATAATTAAGGGTGCATATAACACACGAGTGTGTATTATACGTGAATAAATAAATCTTGTGTACATAGATCAATCGGAAGGGGTGCTAATTGGGATTGTTCACTAGCCAATATATCAGCAAATATCGCCATGGGTGCTTAATAGAGCGGGGCGCTTATTACGTCGAATACGGTAGGTCTAATGTCTAGCTACAACTGTCTGAAGCCTTGTATTTGACCTGACTGGGCTCCTGTCTACTGATATCTCACACCACTCAGCTACAAGTGCCAGCACCAGTCTAGACTACTGATGCTGCAAACATCTTCAAACGTTGCCATGAATCAATAGCTTATAGACACAAACAGTACTTTTGAAGCACGAGTATTATCATTATTATGAAGCTATCATGTGTTCCCTAAATTTCAATCTATCTGCATATTATGTGTGTTTGTGCATTTTGATACAACAGATCAGTGTACACTTATTTGTTATATGTCCAGAAATACCAATCATTGTGATATATTCTGATACAATGAGAAATCTCATTAAAATCCGATCTTAGTTCTCGCCACCGTTAAACAAGGGTCTGAGGAAGTACCATCACGGGTCATGTCAGAATGTTCTATCTGTAATGAGTGAGTGAGTGGGTTGGGTTTAACGCCGCTTTTAACAGTATTCCAGTTATATGACAGCGTGTCAGCTTAATGTGGGAGGAAAGCCCGAAGTGATGCAGGTCTCAGATGTTTACCACTTTGGTGAAAGCTACGAGCCTGGGTATGGTGCTGACAAACCTAGAAACACAATTGGGGCGAACCGGGATTCAAACCCACAATCATAGGTTTCTGGCGTGCCCAAGGGATGCAACTCTGCACAGCGAATTGCGGCGCCTTAGACGACTGGGCCCCCAGCTCTATCTGTAAGCAGAGTTGGATTTAACCCCACTTTTAACAGTATAACAGTTCTATCACGGTGTGTCAGCTAAATATGGGGGGAAAGAAGTTTACCACTTTGGTGAAACCCATGAGCACATGTATGGTGCTGAGAAACCTAGAAACATAATTAGAATTATAGGATTCTGGCGAGCCAAAGGGACGCAACTCTGGATGGCGATTTGCAGTGGCTTAGACAACTGGACCACCCGCGCCCCCTCTGTATATCTGTAAACAGTAGAAACATGTCAACACATCAGGGGATACAACTTACCACATGACATCGTTTAAATGCCAGTTTCGTCTCCTGAAGGATGTTGATTGACACCTCCTGGGACAGGAAGGTTTCGCCGCCGTAGTTCTCGATGGCCGGACCAATGTTGATGTTCGCCTTTGTCACTGTGCCCAGCTTGGCTTGAATATCTCGGCGTAAGTCGTGAATTCTGAAAACAAAAAAATTCCATAAATACATGAAAAGTTGTATGTTAGTTTGTCCACCAACAAATATACTCATGCCATTTCAAATACTATTTAGAGTCATTTTCTATTTCCTCATTCCTACTTTTGTATATACCAATTATTTACACTTCTGCACATGCCTAGTAAGCTACGTCACAGTACCCCAAAACCAAGTCACGTGACTGCACCTTTCTACTTTTGTCTTTGTTCTGTCAGCAATGAAAATCCCGTAAACACAAAATTATTCACTTTCCCCGCAGCATTCAATCTAAAGGTACAGTGGCTAATAAGCAATACATTTCTTATTACAATAAAAGGACCAAAGTAGATTAAATATCATTTCATCACGGAACTCATTACCAAATTAAAAACAATAGTGTCTGATTCCGAAGGAATGGAATTTTCTGGATTCCTGGGATACTGAAGTCTTGAAGAATGTGTACACGAGGGAATACACTGAGTAAAACTGTCAGTGGGGAAGCAATAACTGACCAGACCATACTTGACAAAATGAGGATGGACAGAAGAAAGTAGGAAAACAGAATCAGGGTCAGATGCAATCTCATCAAAATCAGATCTTAGTTCTCGCTGCCGCTAAACAAAGATCTGAGGACATCCCATTACGGGTCACATTACTGTCACTTCCATGACGTTGTAAGCGACGATCTGATTGGTCGGATGAAAGGTTGTTCTGACATGACCCCTAATGGGATGTCCTCAGATATTTGTATAGCGGTAGCGAGAACTAAGATTTGTTTGTTGTTTAACACTCCAGTCACCAATATTCCAGCTATATGACAGTGGTCTGTAAATAATCAAGTCTGGACCAGACAATCCAGTGATGACATCATGAGCATCAATCTACGCAATTGGGTTACGGTGACATGCATCAGCCAAGCCAGCGAGCCTGACTACCCGATCCCGTTAGTCGCCTCTTACGACAAGCATAGTCGCTTTTTACGGCAAGCATGGGTTGCTGAAGACCTATTCTACCCCGGATCTTCACGGGTCACAAGAAGATTAAGAAATAATTCCACCGACCCGCCCGACTGGATCTGCTTCTTCTGGTGGTCCCTCATCTCGTAGTAGCGCAGCAGCAGCACTGAACACCGCTCATGCAGGTACTTGGTCTCCGCACTGCAACAACAACAACAACACGTCACTGCATCCGTGAAGAAGATAACTAAGATTTCAAACACTGTCATATGGTTCCTTATTCCCTGCCGGCGTATATACACATGCCAGGTGATGTGTGATCGCCAGATTTCTAATGTCATAAGATGTGTATTGATATTTCAGCATGTAATAGCTCTGGGCCCAGTTTCACAAAGCAATCGTTGTTGTATGAGCATTTCAAAGTGTATGCTAAAAGATAGCCCATTCCATAAAGGGATTGTAGCACTAAGATGATCAGAACTGGCGCTTAGACAATCATAACTCCCATACATTAACATAGACATGACAGTCGTAGCGCTAAGATGATCAAACCTACCATACTTTAGGACAGACTAATGATAGTCGTAGCGCTAAGACAATCGGAACTCCCATACATTAACATAGACATAAGAGTCGTAGCGCTAAGACGATCAAACCTACCATACTTTAGGACAAACTTACAATAGTCGTAGCACTAAGACAATCATAACTCCCATACTTTAGCATAGACTTACAGCAGTAGTAATGCTAAGATGATAGTAACTCATGCAATAGTAACTATTTAAACATAGATTAATGAGTGAGTGACGAGTAACAAATTTTGTTTTATGACCACTTTGAACAGTATTCCAATCATATCACGGCGTGTCAACTTAATGTGAGAGGAAAGCCTGAAGTGATGCAGGTCTTAGACGGTTACCACTATGGTGAAACACGTATGTACAGTGCTGACAAACTTAGAAACATAATCGGGGCGAACCAGGATTCGAACCCCAGACTGTAGGGATGCACTCTGCACAGTGAATTGAGGCACCTTAGAATGGCTGAGGCACCTGTGCCCCCCTTAGAGATGTGACAGCTGTATGACTATGAACACACTTACTCTATGTAGGCTGTGAGGTGCTGTTGGAAGATTCCCTTAAGCAGCTTGGTGAGGAAGGAGCTGTCGTTGCCCAGCTTGAAGACGGACAGCTCAGTCGTCAGCTCCTTTGTCCTGCAACAGATGGGACAATGTCAGATGCCCACGATTCTCGAACAAGACAGACAGACACACAGACAGACAGACACACAGACAGACAGACAGACAGACAGAGCATATTTCAAGCATGTATGAACCAAGCAAAAGATGTGGTGCTGTGAACATACCTAATACAATGTCCATGCCTCAAAATTAGAAATAGGGGGCTCTTATTAGAATATTATTTCGGTTAAAAGATAAATTTCATGGTTTATGCTGACATTCTGAAATGTTCATGCACAACAGATATATTTTCAAAATTTAAGTGCCCATAATTAAGGTTGCATATAACACACGAGTGCGTATCATACGTAAATAAATAAGTCTTGTGAACATTGATCAATCCGAAGGGGTGCTAATTGGGATTGTTCACTAGCCAATATATTAGCAAATATCACCGTTGGCACTTATTAGAAAGGGGCACTTATTACGTCGAATATGGTAATTAAAGATAGAGAAACTAACTAACATTCCTTAACGCCAAGTTTCTGTACCTCACACATCGGAGAGCACCAGGAAGTGTAAAGACTTACCGGACAAACAGATCGTTGAGATTCTTGAGGTACTGTTCTTGGTCTGATCGGTCTCCCAACCTCTTGGATATGTGAATCTGCAGGAAACACCAAGTGTGTCAGTATATCCCCGAATCCCCTTCATTTACAACACCAAGAACCTGTGTAGCACTTCAAATATCTGTTAGATATCCACTTAAATTACCAACAGGAGTAGAATTATCCTCTTAAATTACCACCTGGGGTAGAATTATCCTCTTAAATTACCAACAGGGGTAGAATTATCCTCTTAAATTACCACCTGGGGTAGAATTATCCTCTTAAATTACCAACAGGGGTAGAATTATCCTCTTAAATTACCACCTGGGGTAGAATTTTCCTCTTAAATTACCAACAGGGATAGAATTATTCTCTTAAAATTAACAACAGGGGTAGAATTATCCTCATAATTTACCAACAGGGGTAGAATTATCCTCTTAAATTACCACCTGGGGTAGAATTATCCTCTTAAATTACCAACAGAGGTAGAATTATCCTCTAAAATTACCAACAGGGATAGAATTATTCTCTTAAAATTAACAACAGGGGTAGAATTATCCTCATAATTTACCAACAGGGGTAGATTTATCCTCTTAAATTACCACCTGGGGTAGAATTATCCTCTTAAATTACCAACAGAGGTAGAATTATCCTCTTAAATTACCAACAGGGGTAGAATTATCCTCTTAAATTACCAACAGGGGTAGAGTTATCCTCTTAAATTACCACCTGAGGTAGAATTATCCTCTTAAATTACCACCTGGGGTAGAATTATCCTCTTAAATTACCAACAGGGGTAGAATTATCCTCTTAAATTACTAACTGGGAGAGTATTATCCACTTAAATTACTAACTGATAGTATATTCCAATTAAATTACCAAAACAGGTAGTATTATCCACATAAATTTCGACAAAGACTTGAAGAAAAGCGACCCCACCTGCAGGATGCCCTGGAAGATGCTCTGCACGAACTTCCCCATGACCATCTCCGGGTTGGAGAAGACGTGGTTGATGAGTTGACTGGTCCGCTGACACAGCGGCAGGACGTCGTCGAACACGTTCTCCTTCAGGAAGGAATGCTGAAACAGTGCACCATGTTCAGTCGCGGCCTCTCATCACATCTTGACAAACAGCACACAATGGCAGACATGGTACCCAAACATGTCAAAAGGGTGGAGATTCCAGTTTGTAATTGTTAGAATTGTGAGTGAGTGAGTAAGTATGGTTTTACGCCGCTTTTAGCAATATTCCAGCAATATCAGGGTGGGGGACACTAGAAATGGGCTTCACACATTGTACCCTTGTCGGGAATCGAACCCGGGTCTTCGGCGTGACGAGCGAACGCTCTAACCACTAGGCTACCCCTGTGTTTGTAGAAGGAGGGGCTTAATGGAACGGGTTGTCATGCTTGGCGATTTGGTTGATTGCGATTTGGTTGATCATTGTCAAGAGAGATAGTTATTACAAATAGGATTGACAAAAAGTCAATCAGCTAGTAATGATATGTCCTCATACTGTCTACTATCTCGTACAGCTACCAACTGTGGCCCATCAGGTAAAGCTTTTATTATCCATGTTGTTTGTATCAGCTTCACTTTTTCCATTTTAAACAAAATCTTTTCATAAAGAACAGTAATTATGTAATGACTGAAATTTATTTGAGTCCTTGCATGATCAGTGAACATGGCTGGTTTCAAATTGTGAGTGATGTAGATACATTGCACATTGAACAAATTCAAACCAAAAGATCAAAAGAAAAGTGATATCATTAACATGATTAATCACGATAACAAAAGTCCATATTCATAATCCAGTTTTATGAAAACATATTTGATAACCATATGAATAGGTTGGTTTAGCGCACGTCCAATACGCTGGCAATGATATCAGCATGAATAGACAGACTTACCTTCTGACTCTCGGTGATAAATGTGTCGATGCAGATACCGTAGGACTGTAAAACAACAAACACATCTCTTCAAATAAAGCAAATACGGTAAGTGAAACATTTCATCAAATGCATCACACACAAAAGAGACAAAGGAATGATAAACAGATGATTTTCAAGTTTCATACTAACAAACTCCACATGCAAACCCTGTTATCTTAAGCATAAGAAAGTGTGTTCCTGGTGTTGGTATGCTGTCAAAAATGGGCGTCTGCTTCAAACCATGATGCGTTAAACATGTTCAAGCCATGTGGTTCAGGGAGAGAGTTGCTTAATTAACACCTGAGGTGTATTGGGTATGACGTCACATTCAAGATTATAGCGATGTGTATGAGTAAAGCGTCTGCTTCACTGAACTAGCCCACTGAGATACCATGTTTAACATGAATACCCCACTCACACACAGTATACTGCCTCCAAGCTGACCAGTCCTTTTTTTAGCCCCCTAATGCAGAGCGCCAGGCAGGGAAACAAAAAGTACCATCTTTTAACATATTTTGGTATGAGGCGGCAATGGATCTAACCTATGTTCCCTGAGCAGACGCTCTATCCACAATACAATGGAGATGTTCATTACTCAACAACATCAAACGTGTAACATCCCACTCAGGCCCCTAAACTGATACACAGTGGTAACGAAGGCAGACGAACCTTAAAGTTCTGCAGGACGCTGGCTATTCTCTTCATCTTGCGCTGGTCGCCATCCCGGTGGGCCAGCTTAAACTCCCCGATCAACTCCTTCTCCACCGAGTCGTACTTGTCTGGAACACACAACCAGCAGAGATAACGACTGTCATAACATGGAGCACACATCACAAACAGGGGGACTCTAACTCCCCGATCAACTCCTTCTCCACCGAGTCGTACTTGTCTGGAACACACGACCAGCAAGAAATAACAACTGTCATAACATGGAGGACACATCACAAACATGGGGACTCTAACTCCCCGATCAACTCCTTCTCCACCGAGTCGTACTTGTCTGGAACACACGACCAGCAAGAAATAACAACTGTCATAACATGGAGGACACATCACAAACATGGGGACTCTAACTCCCCGATCAACTCCTTCTCCACCGAGTCGTACTTGTCTGGAACACACGACCAGCAAGAAATAACAACTGTCATAACATGGAGGACACATCACAAACATGGGGACTCTAACTCCCCGATCAACTCCTTCTCCACCGAGTCGTACTTGTCTGGAACACACGACCAGCAAGAAATAACAACTGTCATAACATGGAGGACACATCACAAACATGGGGACTCTAACTCCCCGATCAACTCCTTCTCCACCGAGTCGTACTTGTCTGGAACACACGACCAGCAAGAAATAACAACTGTCATAACATGGAGGACACATCACAAACATGGGGACTCTAACTCCCCGATCAACTCCTTCTCCACCGAGTCGTACTTGTCTGGAACACACGACCAGCAAGAAATAACGACTGTCATAACATGGAGGACACATCACAAACATGGGGACTCTAACTCCCCGATCAACTCCTTCTCCACCGAGTCGTACTTGTCTGGAACACACGACCAGCAAGAAATAACGACTGTCATAACATGGAGGACACATCACAAACATGGGGACTCTAACTCCCCGATCAACTCCTTCTCCACCGAGTCGTACTTGTCTGGAACACACGACCAGCAAGAAATAACAACTGTCATAACATGGAGGACACATCACAAACATGGGGACTCTAACTCCCCGATCAACTCCTTCTCCACCGAGTCGTACTTGTCTGGAACACACGACCAGCAAGAAATAACGACTGTCATAACATGGAGGACACATCACAAACATGGGGACTCTAACTCCCCGATCAACTCCTTCTCCACCGAGTCGTACTTGTCTGGAACACACAACCAGCAAGAAATAACAACTGTCATAACATGGAGGACACATCACAAACATGGGGACTCTAACTCCCCGATCAACTCCTTCTCCACCGAGTCGTACTTGTCTGGAACACACAACCAGCAAGAAATAACAACTGTCATAACATGGAGGACACATCACAAACATGGGGACTCTAACTCCCCGATCAACTCCTTCTCCACCGAGTCGTACTTGTCTGGAACACACAACCAGCAAGAAATAACAACTGTCATAACATGGAGGACACATCACAAACATGGGGACTCTAACTCCCCGATCAACTCCTTCTCCACCGAGTCGTACTTGTCTGGAACACACAACCAGCAAGAAATAACAACTGTCATAACATGGAGGACACATCACAAACATGGGGACTCTAACTCCCCGATCAACTCCTTCTCCACCGAGTCGTACTTGTCTGGAACACACAACCAGCAAGAAATAACAACTGTCATAACATGGAGGACACATCACAAACATGGGGACTCTAACTCCCCGATCAACTCCTTCTCCACCGAGTCGTACTTGTCTGGAACACACAACCAGCAAGAAATAACAACTGTCATAACATGGAGGACACATCACAAACATGGGGACTCTAACTCCCCGATCAACTCCTTCTCCACCGAGTCGTACTTGTCTGGAACACACAACCAGCAAGAAATAACAACTGTCATAACATGGAGGACACATCACAAACATGGGGACTCTAACTCCCCGATCAACTCCTTCTCCACCGAGTCGTACTTGTCTGGAACACACAACCAGCAAGAAATAACAACTGTCATAACATGGAGGACACATCACAAACATGGGGACTCTAACTCCCCGATCAACTCCTTCTCCACCGAGTCGTACTTGTCTGGAACACACAACCAGCAAGAAATAACAACTGTCATAACATGGAGGACACATCACAAACATGGGGACTCTAACTCCCCGATCAACTCCTTCTCCACCGAGTCGTACTTGTCTGGAACACACAACCAGCAAGAAATAACAACTGTCATAACATGGAGGACACATCACAAACATGGGGACTCTAACTCCCCGATCAACTCCTTCTCCACCGAGTCGTACTTGTCTGGAACACACGACCAGCAAGAAATAACAACTGTCATAACATGGAGGACACATCACAAACATGGGGACTCTAACTCCCCGATCAACTCCTTCTCCACCGAGTCGTACTTGTCTGGAACACACGACCAGCAAGAAATAACAACTGTCATAACATGGAGGACACATCACAAACATGGGGACTCTAACTCCCCGATCAACTCCTTCTCCACCGAGTCGTACTTGTCTGGAACACACAACCAGCAAGAAATAACAACTGTCATAACATGGAGGACACATCACAAACATGGGGACTCTAACTCCCCGATCAACTCCTTCTCCACCGAGTCGTACTTGTCTGGAACACACAACCAGCAAGAAATAACAACTGTCATAACATGGAGGACACATCACAAACAGGGGGACTCTAACTCCCCGATCAACTCCTTCTCCACCGAGTCGTACTTGTCTGGAACACACGACCAGCAAGAAATAACAACTGTCATAACATGGAGGACACATCACAAACAGGGGGACTCTATATGATAGATGCAGCGTAGACACAGTCTAAGACTGAATTATGTGAATAAGTGTAAATATCTCATTTCCTACATGAAACATGCATCTACTCACTATATCATATTATCAGTGACAAATACATTTTTCAATTTACTTTGAGCACGTTGAGTCAATGTTAGAATATAAGTGAAAGATCATGTTGTATCATCAAATCTGGAGTCATAATATTAAACAAATGTTAAATTACACATTGAAATTTTCATTTGCAATGAATATCATTCTGAAGGTGGGATTTTCAGATTGGGTTAAAGTCACTTTATAGTACCTGCAATCCTCTGTCTTGCCTTGTCAAACCTGAAAAAGAAATATGGTATATACACTTAACAGTTATGAATTATCCACCAGTTAGTAACTAAACATCAGTATTATGAACAAGTTGCTCCGTGCTTATACGTGTAAATCCAATATACTTGGTATCATGATCCTATAAATATGCACATCAGGTCACCAAGCAGGAAGTACTTTTAATATCAAGACATCGGTTTAATGTCTGCCTACTCAGTAGTCTAGTTACAAACATTACCAATAAGCTTAGATAGGGCTTTTCTGATGTGTGGCCGATTATGTACACAAACATGGCTGCAAATCATCTGGAACTATATGATAAAAGAAACAGTTGACTGATCATCTTCCCGAGGCAAGGGAGTTAGCTGAACTCGACATCTGGTTCATATATAACATGGGAACAACCGTGCTGAATTCTTTCGATTGCAGGATTTGCAGAGCATGTGTGCTGTCGACTGAGCTTCATCACATATTTTCCCAATCTTTTCATGTTTTAAATAAACGTGCTCAAGTGATCTGATGCACTTCACGAGGTAAAACCCGGTTTATTATGAGATCGTCTTGACTGGGCGCAACCAGTTTCTTTGAAGCAACTCAAGTGATATGAGAGATGGAATCTGAGTGGTCAGTGGGGGGGACAAAGAAGGGACATGACATGTAATAGCCACTGATGGAGTTAAGATCAAGCCTAAAAATTCCAGCCTAGTTCGGCAAGGGTGGAAACTGGACTTCTGAAGTCAAATAACTCCTTTGCCTCGGGAAGATGTACTTACATAGGTGTTTCTAAAGTACCTTCATTGAGAAAATAACCTCTTAAACATTGATTATTTTAAGAAGGACATTATAGAATAAAGAGGGTTTCTAAATCATAAATATCAAATATTAGGAATAAAGTAAATGCATGATGATCACATAAGGCTCGCACAATATAATTTGTATTCCTAACATTTGATATTATGATACAGAAAACACTCAGCTGATAATCTCCCTATACTATTTATATTGGCGTGTGCCGGCAGTGCCGAGGACTCACTTGCCCCCGGGGAGCTCCAGGGCGATCATGTGGAGCTTCTGGATGACATCCGCCGTCAGCTGGAGCTACAACACACCACAGGAGATGGATGATGTCACAGTCGACAATTACATTCAAGGTCATCAAAATACTCAACAACAAAAAAGAAAAAAGTACCCGCCTTTAATTATAAACGTAAAAGGAATGAGTATGGTTTTACCTATTTTTAGCAATATTCCAGCAATACTCCAACAGGGGACACCAGTAATGGGCTTCACACAATGTAGCCAAGTGCAGAATTGAACCCTGGTCTTCGCTGTGATGAGCGAATGCTTTAACCACTAGGCTACCCCACGGACCAGGAACTTAAAGCATTTCCAGTCGCATGACATTGGTCTGGGAAAACATGACCCCAAACTTTGAACTCCCATTCTTCCCATAAGAAAAGTGAATGGAGTTCCAGTCTTGTAACATCCTTTCTGGTTTGTGGAAGTCGCACAGTTCGAGTTACACAAAAGCGTATGCTGAGTCATCATGCTACAAATGGGCACATGGAAGCAGGATCTAGATAGACAGACCATTGCTGGACTAACAGACTAGTGATGGGTAATGACCTGTCTTTATTCAATGCATTTCAATATGTACCACAGTCTTTTGCATGTGTTCTTTCATCTGCAATTTGATTTTCTGATCATTTTTTTCTTTTTTAAGTCCGAAATGTCTGATTTTGTTTGGACGTTTTCATACTCGTCCGCCATTTTTTGTTGGATGTTGCTATGGTATAATGGTAACAACTCATGTGTATCAGATACATTATATACAGGAAGCTGGTCGCTTCACCAAACATGGAAACAGTTGCAAATTTTTTAATTTAAAAATTTCAATTCAAAATCACTTATGCAAACTTAGCCAACAAGCTGAAAATCTGCATGTTTTTAATAAATGCAATATACCAGTATTTTCCAAATGTATTGTGATACAGATTCTTCAATAGTTCAAATCATGGAATACCAGTAAACATGGTAAGCCGGTATTACCACACACCTCTAAAATAGACACCATAAACATGTGGTTCAAACAAACATCTCAAAACTGTAGTTTCTAGATTTATCAGCACCCACATGACAAATGTGATCAAATGTGTGAAACAAAAAAAAAAATACTCAAGAAATAAACAGCAACATGTTATTTGTGTTTATCACTGCATTTCAGTTTTTCTGACAACTGTGAGTTTATTTTGGAAACACCAATGCTAGGAGGTAGTTAGCTCACCTGGAAAGGGTCTGTCAAGACAGGAGACTTGAGTGCCTCATCTGCCAGGAACTCAGACAGGTAGTTCATCAAGCGCTGAGCCTCGACAGCTCTGGCCCGGGGGGTGTTGACCCCCTCCAGCTGGTCCCCCAGGTGAACGACCTTCGTAGCCACATAGTTGATACGCTCATCCAACTTCTGGAAATGGGTGTACAAGGCCTGCAAAAGAAAAACGATCATAACAAACAGAAAAATTACCATTATTTTTATGAAAAGCATCCTTGAAAGTAGATATTGATATCTTGATATCATCATTAAGGCTGATAACTTCAAACAAGGTGCCAACCCTGTTGATTTTTTAATACTCTTTATTGAATACATCACCACAATCAGATGCTCATACCACTGGTCTAAACGTTTTGCTAAACATGTCAATCTTATCAAAATCAGATCTTTGTTTAGCGGTAGCGGGAGGACATCCCATTAGGGGTCACGTCAGAACGACCTTTTATCCGACCAATCAGAGCGTCGCTTACCAGATCAAGAAAGTGACAGTCGGAATGTGATTTCTTATCATGAAGCCTCGAAAACGTTAAAACAGGGTATTGCGAACGATAGTTACGGGCTTAACGACTGAATCTATACAATCTAGACCATATATTAGCCATTCTAGAACGTTCTTTTGTTCAGGTTTCAAATTTTTAAGAGAGAATTTGTCAAAATATGTTTCGAAGCGTAGTCGCCAATTAGAAATTAGTGCCATAAAGCACGAGAAGGCTGCCTTCTGATTGGCTAATGTCGACTTCTTGTCAGTAATTCCATTGGTCAGTCAGAGTTTGCGAAAGGTCGGTCTGACGTGACCCGTAATGAGATGTCCTCAGATCTTTGTTCAGCGGCAGCGAGAACTAAGATCTGATTTTAATGAGATTGCCAAACATGTATACATTCAAATACAAAACCATGTTGACATCATTGATCTTTAATCAATCAGTGAAATTTAATGAAGCAGAGCATGAACACTACAAGGACTCAATTTATAGAACTTGATTTAACTTGCACCAGGTGCATGTTGACATGAACACGTAGCTGCACCAGACAAAACCATGTTGCACCCGGGTCCCATAAATTTATCAAACTTGAAACATAGGCCTATCTGCTGCCAGTGTCACATAAATTAATGACACATTGCTTTAAAATGTAATAGGAACATGTGCACACAATCTTACAGTACCAACAGTATGATAACGTCAAGATTAAGAAAGCACGACAAATTACACGTAACACAGGTATTAGTGGTGTAGAATGATAAACAAACCTAAGAGATATTCACTGTGTTAAAATATCAATTTTGCGAGGACAAGTAAGGGTTAGACAGAGACAAATTTGATTTTTTTTACATGCACTTGGCGCATGTACAAGTAGACATAAATATTAGGTTGAATTTCTCGTCAATAGGTTGCACTTGTGCATGTTTTATATAGCTCAATCGAGCCCTGACTATTCTGTAATTATGGTAATTAGTGCTATACTTCATACCCTAACTAAACAAGATGTAAATGTATCCTTTACCCCTCTGCTACTTTCAAAAGATTGTAAAGGGCTGAAAATAGTAACCATGGTAACGGAATAACTTGAATTACTTTTGTTAGATTTATCATGTCTATAATACACTCACCTGATTCTTTTTCTGTAGTTCTGAAACCCGCTGCCAGTGTCTCTTCTCCTCATCTTTGCAATTATTTTCCAGTTTTTCTATCTTCCTGGCAATCATCACATTCTTCTCCTTCAGGTCGCGGATGACCTTCTCGAAGGTGCTGTGAAGTAGCATGGGGTCGAAGTCCTCCGGACTGGTGTGCCGGGCTCGGCTCCCCATCGTCTTCCATGCCAACCGTTCAACAAATTCATGAACACTGAACGGCTCCTGCACAAAAATCACACATCACAGTAATATCTATGTTGTTACTAGATTCTAGGTTTGCTTACAACAAAAATAAGGGGCATATTCTGTTCCATTTGGAATTCAACTTTAATTATTTGCATTACAGAAGTAGATGGGTTTGGCATGTGGTCCTGTGCACAGGTCATAATCAGGCGAGGTTAAGCAATGCTCATCACAGTGCCTGCAGCAGTTAGGTGGATCAAAGACGTATATACATCTTTGGGTGGATTGATGACTGAGGACAAGAGTTTCTATGGCATCACTCCTGCCCTGCACTGATACACAGGTTACATGACAGTATACAGGTGGTGTCTCTTCATGCAAGTGACCTCGCCACTCTTCATCCAGGTGTGAAAGGGTACTACTACTACATGTACTAGCTGCTTGGTATTAGGAAACTATTGTGTATATACATCAAGTACATATTTATAGATATTTGCCATCTGAATAAACTACAAACAAAAGAGTTAGAAATGGTATTAAACTATTAGGCTGTCATATGATATTGTGGGACGTGATATTACAAATGGTTTAGTATAGTTATATGTATATGAAATGATATGATGTGACATGACATGATGTGATATGATATGATATGATAAGTGTTGTGGTGTGATATGATACATGAGGGGATATGATGCAATATGTTATGTGTATTATAGAAATTGTGTAAATACTGTTTTTTAGTGTACATATTATATGGCTTGCGGTCTTCCAGTGTTGAATAAATATTAACTGATTGATATGATATAAATTGGCATGGAATGACATGGCATTATATGGTATGATATGATAAGATATGATGGGACAAGCTATAAAATTGCTAATGTGTTGTGTGATATGACATGTTGAAATGTGATATAATATAGGTGTGATATATGGTACGATGGTATGTTATGATATGATAATGGTATATGAAATAATACTATATAGTATGATCTTATTATAATGATATGATATGATGTTATAGAATATGTTGTATGATATAACAAGTTGTGATATGTTAAAATAGAAATTATGAAATTACAGGGTATGGTATTGTACTGTATGTGTGAAATTATGTGACTGTGTTGAGATGCGATGTGGAATGACGTGAGGTGATTTGGTGAGATATGTACATAAATTTTATAAAATTGTATATTCTTCAAATTGTACTATAGGCCTATGGCCTCTTCAGTACGTGAAATAAAGATAAAGATACATGTACTAGCTGCTTGGATGAAAAGCTAATGTGAATGAAAAACTTTCAAGCATGGAAACCCTTCTCACCTTATTCCCTAGTAACACAATAACATGTCTGCTTTTAATTCAATTCTTATACCATATTCGACGTAATAAGCGCCCCGCTCTAATAAGCGCCCATGGCGATATTTGCTAATATATTGGCCAGTGAACAATCCCAATTAGCTCCCCTTACGATTGATCAATGTACACAAGACTTATTTACGCGCGTATAATACGCACTCGTGTGCTATATGCACCCTTAATTATGGGCAATTAAATTCTGGGAAAATACATCTGTCGTATATAAACATTTCAGGCTGTCAGCATAAACCACGACATTTATCTTTCAATTCTGTTTTTTTCCACCAAAATAATATTCTAATAAGAGCCCCCTATTTCTAATTTTGAGAGCGCCCTGGGTGCTTATTACGTCGAATACGGTATCTTTTATAGTGTGATATACCTGAATAATGAATCTCAGATTGTGTGATTCATAATTCAGGTGTGACCACCTATTTAAAGAGAGCATGAACTGATTTCAGGTTTAAGTTAATGTCTTTGGTATGAAATTTTATAGTGAATGAACTTTTTACACTCGCCACAGACTGTGATGGCTTGCTAATATACTGTGTATACTAGGGCTGGGACGGGTAACTCGGGTACTTGGGTCAGGTGGGTCGTGAGTAGGACCCAGGTACCCACATGACTACCCGGACCCGTGCTTAATCACATGACATACTATTTAATGACATTAACAATAAAACTCAATGGTTACACTACAAGAATAGCTAATGTTCACATTTTTTTCTCACTATGCAGGCATTCGTTCTGACTTTTATATGTTCGAGTAAGGATAAAGTGTCTATCAACTGCAGTGTGTACATGATCATATATCTAAATATTTTTTGCCAGGGCTGCGTTAAAACAGTTCCAATTCGGACATTTTGTACCCAACTCTTGAGACCTATAGCGGGTATCCGGGTAGTAAATTTGGACTCGTCCCAGTCCTTGTGTATACATAGTAGTATAGTAGACATAAACATGGCCTATAATTAACATTGCTGTCCATAAGTTAACACAGTCTGTGAAAAGACAGGAACTTTTACTTATGCGACATTGTTTTTTCGAGGAATCGTGTTGTGAATTGTATGTAATTCATTGAAGAATTAACTTTTTTTGACAGGACAAACTGTGCTGCGATACGAAGTAGAAATAAAAGTCACGAATGTTTGTATCCAATTCGTACACGTAAGATGCCGCCTAAATACTTTTAACAAATACAAAGTATCTTATTTGTCTTTGAAGGACTCCATACATACCTGATCTAACTCCTCCAAAGACATATTGAGCAGCAGGCATCAAATAATCACTTGCCAAGAAAGAGCTATTTCATATAAGACTCCATTTTGTTGAGCACTTCCGCCCTTTAAAGGGAGGTCACTCTTGTTTCCATGTGCAGCCCCGCCTCCTGTGTGTAGCTACGAAAGTAAATTGCAGACCCAAAATATAAACTCCAAATTCCTACCATTGTGAATTATGTGATTTAGTAGGAACTATCGGCCATTGTATTGCATTTTAGCATTTTTTCACAGAAACGTATCTATATTACACATATAACATCTAACAATTATATATCAGAACAATTTGCAAAGTTAGACTATATACCTCCATGAATTATATTCAAAGTACAAACCACCATTAGTAAACTAACGAATCAGTACTTGAACCATATTGAGAAGAGTCAAGTAAGGATGAGTATGACATAAACATCTAGGCTGTATGTGGTTACCAGTTAATCTTATTTTGATTAAAGGGGACATTCGCTCCACTTTGCATTTCTTCTTAATCTTTAGACGTCGTGATTATCATTTTCTACCAAGCAGTTTCAGTGTAGGTTAAGAATTAACTGCTAGACTCATATACATCGTGAAATTTGATATTGCAGGCAAAAAACTGGCTTTGAAACTGATTGTACCGCATTTGTTATACAGGGATCAGCTGAGACAACACCTGTACGTGCGTAATGGAACAGTCCAATCTACTCAAATGAGGAGAGAGACACCAAAAACATCGCAGTCTCTATGGAGGGTCATGAATAAGCTGGAAATTTATAATAAAATATAAAGTGTGTTTGCATTTTGTCATTTCAGGGAGGGTCGTGTATAATTGAACAAGGACATGGGTAGTTGAGGTGGGGGGTCACCCAGAAATAGGACAAGCGTTAAGGGAGGGTCACTAGTTTCATCAGTGCATGACAACTTGGACATCCCCACCTCATCCCCATCCTATTTTATTGAAATACGTCACGTGTTTACAAAAAAAGAAGATTTGGGGAATATGTGCAGCATCCTTGTCAGTCTATCCTGTGTTGTCTTCATAATGTGACATACCGCTTTCTATTTTAAAGGTATAAACATGCATTGATTAATGCAGGATTAATACCAGTGCGTTGTATATACATCACAAGACTTCGTTCATAAAGTTCGGTTAACAAACTGGTTCAATATCCCCACATGGCACACTCATCGTTTACATAATAAATATCAACGCTATCGCCTGACACAAGCAGTCCTATAGGGTGATTGGCTATCATACAATATTTACAGGGGGACATTGAAACATGTATTGCAGGTGGTCCAGTCGTCTAAGGCGCCGCGATTCGGTGTGCTGAGTTGCGTCCCTTGGGCACGCCAGAAACCTATGATTATGGGTTCGAATCCCGGTTCGCTCCGATTATGTTTCTAGGTTTGTCAGTATCATACCCGTGCTCGTGGGTTTTCACCGAAGTGGTAAATGTCTGAGACCTGCATCACTTTGGGCTTTCCTCCCACATTAAGCTTACACGCCGCGATATAACTGGAATACTGTTAAAAGTGGCGTTAAACCAAACTCACTCACTCACTCACTACATTACAGTGCATGATAATATATCGCGAAGCCACAATGGAAGCCACAATGGAAGCCACAATGGAAGCCACTTCATCAATAAGTGAGTCATTTGGGGTTAAAGCCAAAGAACAGTATTTCAGTTATATCACAGCGTGTCAAACCAGAGATCGTGGCGAATTTGGGATTTGAACCGTGATTAGTGGATCCTGGCAGAGGTAAGGGACGTAACTATACAGAGCGATTTGCGGCTGACTTTCCTACTTGACCACCGGAGCCTCAGTCAATCCATAAAGTTATTAAAAGACACATTCAAAACTTGTTGACATAATAATTATGAGATTAATAATAAATACAGAATAATAACCAGTGGTAATACTAATGATGATACTAATCCAACAAAAATAGCGATGATGATAATAATATTATCAACATGATGATCTAATAACTTTCATGTAGCGTTGGAATCCATACAATGTGTTTGCTCAGGGTGCTGACAGCACTTTGTCTCGCAGGGTCGGAATATATTAGATTTAAGCTGGAGTGTATGTCAAGATTGTTGTCACAGGTGTTGGGCACTTTCTTTGCTTCATCTACTCTGAGGGTTTGTTGAGTACAGTACACTTAGGTCTCGTGGGGTTTTAGGAGCAGTGTCTGAACTAGGTGAGTGAATCCCCTTTCCCATGCTTGCCGTAAGAGGCCACTATGCTTGTCGTAAGAGGCAACTATGCTTGCCGTAAGAGGCGACTATGCTTGTGGTAAGAGGCGACTATGCTTGTGGTAAGAGGCGACTATGCTTGCCGTAAGAAGCGGCTATGCTTGTCGTAGGAGGCGACTATGCTTGTGGTAAGAAGCGGCTATGCTTGTCGTAGGAGGCGGCTATGCTTGTGGTAAGAGGCGACTATGCTTGTGGAAAGAGGCGACGATGCTTGCCGTAAGAAGCGACTATGCTTGCCGTAAGAGGCGACTATGCTTGCCGTAGGAGGCGACTATGCCTGCCGTAGGAGGCGTCTATGTTTGTCGTAAGAGGCGACTATGCTTACCGTAGGAGGCGACTATGCTTGTCGTAGGAGGCGGCTATGCTTGTGGTAAGAGGCGACTATGCTTGTGAAAAGAGGCGACGATGCTTGCCGTAAGAAGCGACTATGCTTGCCGTAAGAGGCGACTATGCTTGCCGTAAGAGGCGACTATGCTTGCCGTAGGAGGCGTCTATGCTTGTCGTAAGAGGCGACTATGTTTGTCGTAAGAGGCGACTATGCTTACCGTAGGAGGCGACTATGCTTGCCGTAAGAGGCGACTATGCTTACCGTAGGAGGCGACTATCCTTGTCGTAAGAGGCGACTATGCTTACCGTAGGAGGCAACTATGCTTGTCGTAAGAGGCGTCTATCCTTGTCGTAAGAGGCGACTATGCTTACCGTAGGAGGTGTCTATGCCTGCCGTAGGAGGCGTCTATGCTTGTCGTAAGAGGCGACTAACGGGATCGGGCGATCAGGCTCGCTGATTTGGTTAATGCATGTCATTGAATCCCAATTGCATAGATCGATGCTCATGACGTCAGTCTTTGGATTGTCACGTCCACACTCGATTATTTACAGACCGCCGTCATATAGCTGAATGTTGTTGAGTGCGCCATTCAACAACAAAAACCAAACCTATAATCTAATAAGAGTACCTGCAATTCTCTGTCTTGCCTTGTCAAATCTGAAAAAGAAAAATGGTACGGCGTTAATCAGCAAAGAAATAAAGAATCCCCTAATAGATGTGTACCAAGGCAATGAACAGGCTAAGGACATATCGAAACTAGCGTTGAATAAAACCAACCCCACACCTCTCAAACTGCCAACAAACAGACCTATGTGCTTTTCTTATTTCTATTGATATGACGACGAGTTCAAGTAAGTTGGTCAGTAGAGCTATTCAATACCAACTAAACTATACAATAATAACAACACAAATATTCCTATACACAATTGGCAAAATGACAAGGATACGTTTGCATTTTGTTAAGACGGCATTGAAACGTTATACCATAGATTCCTTGACTGCACTTAAGTGTAAGTTGTCATTAATCTATTGGTCAACTGGAATAAGTGAGTGAGTGGGGCTTAACGCTGCCTTGAACAATATTCCAGTTATATCATGGCGTGTCAGCTTAATGTGGGGGGAAAGCCTGAAGTGATGCAGGTCTCAGACGTTTAACCACATTGCTGAAACCCACGAGCACGGATATGGTGCTGACAAACCTAGAAACATAATCGAGGCGAACCGAGATTCGAACCAACAATCACAGATTTTCGATGTGCCCAAGAGACGCAACTCAGCACATAGAATTGCGGCGCCTTGGGAGCATATGTAATTAAACCGATCGAAAAGAGTTAAGTGAACTCACATATATGTGTAACTAAATGACACCCCGACCCCACTCGCAACAACAACAGATTCAATTGGGCGTAAAAGGCGAAATAACGGTGCAGTTATATGAACAGATCACTGGAAATCAGTGCAATCTCATTTAAATCAGATCTTAGTTCTTAGAATACGTCAAAATATGTTTCGAAGCGTAGACGCCAGTTTGAAACTAGTGTCGTAAAGCTCGAGAAAGCTGCCTTCTGATTGGCCAATATCGATTTCTTGTCAGTCATTTCATTGGTCGGTCAAAATTCGCGAAAGGTCGTTCTGACGTGACCCGTAATGGGATGTCCTCAGATCTTTGTTTAGCGGTAGCGAAAAGTAAGATCTGATTTTAATGAGATTGGAAATCAGTGATGACACCAGGTGTTCGCGAAAGGGGGTTAATCACGTTAGTAAATATATGCTTTCGATGACTGACTACATACACGAGACAATTCATAGAGATTAACGACACAAGTATGTGAGTTATTATAACTATTAATATGATGTAAAAAATGTTATATTTGGGATAACACTTTCTTAGTGAAGTACAGATTCTCGTACCTTTCTGGGTTGTGTCCGATCCGGGATTCGAACCCACACTGCCAGATGCCACAATGCTCGTGATGTCAATCACTGGATTGTCTGGTCCAGACTCGATTATTTACAGACCGCCGTCATATAGCTGGAATACTGCTGAGTTCGGCGTTAAACAACAAACAAACAAACAGTTCCTGGTGCAATGTCTCGTATGGTGTCCAGCGCCCACTTGCACAAAGCGATCTTAGCGCTAAGATGATCTTAACTCCCATACTTTAACATAAGCTTACAATAGTCGTAGCGCTAAGATCGCTTTGTGCAAGTGGGCCCTGGTGTTTTTGACACTTCAGAGGTAATATTCCAAACCCCGGATTACTTTCTTAGATATATCGGGTTAAATTCTTAAATCGTACCCGAATGATGAAAACGATCCCATGACCTTGCTTGGAAAATTTTGAAATTGTATAGTGCAAGATCGTTGACTTAATGGGGCTAGTTAGAGATTTTACGTGCGCATCATATTGATTCCTATTTCAGTTCTGGTGCATCGCAAAGCTTTAACGCCGCTTTCTGCAGTATGACAGCCATACAACGACGTGCCAGCTTAATGCGGGAAG